CAGTGGGCACAGAGGACCAGTGGGTACAGAGGACCAGTGGGCACAGAGGACCAGTGGGTACAGAGGACCAGTGGGCACAGAGGACCAGTGGGTACAAGAGGACATGAGGGCAAGGACCAGATGGGACACAGTGCCAGAAGACACCCAAAATTGTTGAAATCCTATGGCTGCATTTAAATTTATTCATGTAAGGTAGCAAATCAACTCATTTTCCTTGCATTTCTGTGCGCTCAGAATATTATTTTCTTAAACCCATGTGCTTCACGAAAGACTCAGGTTAACAGAACGTGTTCATTCCAGAACACGTCAAATCTTTGAAAAATCAGATGAAATATTTGGCATTGGGTTGGAAACTTTGGATAAAAGGGAAATAACTAACAAATTAAGAGGGCCACAAAGTAATCTTAATAACCATGCGGCCCCTTTGAGTCAATCTGCTGCGATTGACATATTGAACAAGGCACAGTCAAACATGGCTACGTTTCAAAGCCTAACAAATCTTAGTAATTCAGGAACAGAAGTGTCACATCGTCACTTTAAACAGATTCAGTAACTTTGTTTTCTAACGTTGAACTCAGTATGGATCGAGCATTGTCATTGAGCATGATAAAAAGATAGACGACATTTTGAAGAGCTGTTCAATGTCCCAGGAGCATATTCCCAAAGATGTAGATGGTTGTTTTTGAGCTGTGGCAAGGAACATTATTCGCATCACAAGGACAGGAGAAATAGATTGTTAAGTGGTTGAGCATTTAACTAATCTCGGTCTTTTCAAACAGAGTGAAGACAGTTTAGTCACCAAACTGAGAGAATTAACCGTTTCAAGAGTGGTCAGGAGAGAACAGGCAACACTATGAAAACTTCCTAACCACTGACAATTTTGAAAACGAAGTTGAGCAGTTTTCCCATCGTGGTTATTTTACTCGAGAGCTGGGAAATCTTATGGTTCTAGCCATGGCTAACTTCTTAAAAATGCCAATTGTGATCTTTTGATCTCTGGAAAACTTCCCAACTATTCCTACACTGCCACGTCAACGGTCACATGGTATGCCTTCGTTGTTCATATCATTTAATACTGCTGGTTGTGGACACTACGACGACGTCTGTCGAGAAAATTATCTCTTGGAGCCAGAAGAAAAGAAAATAAAGAAGAAAGAAAAATGAGCCAAGGTGTTTTGCTCCTGTGGAGTCAGGAGGAAAGGCCAAGAGTCAGTTGCAAATATTTGCAATAAGTTAATTGGTTCATACTCGAGCAGGTGCAAGTGTCTCAAAGCTCGAGTAAGTTGCTCCGGAAGTTGCACATGCCGCGGTTGTTCAAATCCATTTGGACAAATATTGAGTGCGGTGCACCACCTAAACAGCGAAAGTATAATTTTTTAAACTTGAACAAGTATACCTCACAAGCACACCTCCATATGAAAAATGCACCTGCCACCAGAGGGAGCCCTGACAAGGGAGGAGTCCTTTGTCATGAAAGAAATTCTACAACTGTCCCTTGCAAGCGGGAAAGAACTGAATACTTCCTCTCTGCTGACCCACTATGATCTTGTTCAATCTATCAGTTACACCCTAAAATCTAAGCTGTTGCTGCACAGAATAAAATCACATGAACAAATCAAGCAAGCCATTGCAGCTCACAATCACGATGCAGCCATTGTGGTGGCCTTATTTAAAAAACAGATTGAACTATGTTCCTCAAAGAAGTGAACACCATCAAACGTGCTGAGGAATGCGATAAACTTTTGCATGCTTTGTTGAATTTTTGTTACTGTTGCACACATGACAAACAGCCATTTTGAAAATGAATAGATCTTGTTGCTATATTAAGCTGTACTATTTTACAAATCTAGATAATTTTTTCATGAAACTTGAGAAGAGGTTTTCAAATTAATTATGTCAGCCACAATTCTTTAAAGTAATTCAATTTTTAAATGTGACTATCATGTACTCAAACATGAACGGATAAATATTCATTAAAATTCATTTCACCTGAGAATAGCTCTTACAATTTACTGTGCTCACAAAATAAAACTTAAACAACAACACAGCAAATAACTAAATATATCAACCTTCGCAACTTAATAATCAGGGCTTCTTTCCGATCCTTTTTTCCCATGTTCCCCGCTGTTCTCCCATTCCTCTGCACCCCAACTTCCTCTGGTCTTCTGTACCCACTGTTCCTCTGGTCCTCTGTTCCCACTGCTCCTCTTTACCCACTGGTCTTCTGTGCCCACTGTTCCTCTGTACCTACTGGTCCTCTGTACCCACTGTTCCTCTGTACCCACTGGTCCTCTGTACCCACTGTTCCTCTGGTCCTCTGTACCCACTGGTCCTCTGTACCCACTATTCCTCTGGTCCTGTGCCCACTGGTCTTATGTGCCCACTATTCCACTGGTCCTCTGTACCCACTGGTCTTCTGTGCCCACTGTTCCTCTGGTCCTCTGTACCCACTGGTCCTCTGTACCTACTGGTCCTCTGTATCCACTGGTCCTCTGTACCCATTGTTCTCTGTACCCACTATTCCTCTGTGCCCTGTCCTTCTGTACCCACTGGTCCTCTGTACCCACTGTTCCTCTGGTCCTGTGCCCACTGGTCTTATGTGCCCACTATTCCACTGGTCCTCTGTACCCACTGGTCTTATGTGCCCACTATTCCACTGGTCCTCTTTACCCACTGTTCCACTGGTCCTTCATACCCACTGTTCCACGGGTCTGCTGTGCCCACTGTTCACTGATCCTCTGTACCCACTCACATAACCCTTCTGCTACATCTATCTGTTAATTATTAGTTATTTCAGAACCCAGTACATGTATGTGAGAGACTACCCAGGTCTTCTGTAACTCGATAAGCAAAGGTGGCACAATCTGCTTATTGAGTGATATGGTGAAAAAAAAAATAAATTAACAAACAAAAACAAATATTTACAACTTTATAACACAGAGCCTCCTGGAGATTATCCTACCTTGATCTCTTGATCTTTTATTGAGTACTCTGATTGTACTAGTTCAGAGTCAAAAGGTCCTTGTGTAATCCTGAGGAGAAAAAAAAAAGTTTAAGTAATTGTTAAAATACAGGCACTTTTTAGTGTACAAAAGAAAAGAAAAGGGTAATTCTGCAGTCTCTGACATCAGCTGACAAATTTTACTTAACAGCATCTGCATCTACTTAATAATAATATAATAATAATAACCTGTATTTATATAGCGCTCATATCTTGAACTCATGGTGCTTTACAACACTTTACGGGGGACTTTACCAGACTGCTAAGCAGTTTACAATCAAATGAAAGCAAATATAACAGATGCCCCCTTCCCCAATTCCTAGAAACCAG